ACGGGGACACAGTTATGCTTTCGTGAGCAGGACGGCACAGCGACAGGCAGCGTTTCTCTGAGTATGTGTTGCACTCCAACAGAAGGGAAACGAGTATCGAGAGAGAGAGAGAGAGAGAGAGAGAGAGAGAGATCACAGCCTTAACCATCCCCCACCGATTTCTTAGTCATTACATCTAAACATCAGCTGGGGGAAAAGTGGGGTGTGTTGTGGAAGAGAGAGCTTCAGGGTCTCCCAGCCTGTAGGGGCCAGCCAGAACCAAGTGTGCAGTTCTATTGACAAGAACAGGGCAGAACAGGCCAAGCCTTGGGATTTCAAGAATGTGGCCCTGGGGCAGGGAGTGGGGGTGGGGTGGCTCAGGGTCTCCTGCCATCGTCCCAGGGCAGGTCCACGGTCAGGTGGGGAAGCCTCCGTCCAGTCCCATCCGACAGGGAGCAGGAGGAAGTTACCTTGACGACACGCTTTTGCCCAAGCTGGTTCTTGCCATCGGGTCCAACGGGGTCGAGGATCACACAGTAGTTACGGGGGCCCAGCGTCGTGATGGACACGATGCCCAGCACCTCCTCATGGACATCAGGCACATGGGCCTCCGTGTCCTGCACCGTCACCAGCCACTCCTCCCCAGTGCGACGGGTCACTCCCCTGAAGTCCCGGAAGTTCTGCCGAGCCCGGAGGTGCAGCGCTATCTGTGGAACGGAGGCAGGGGGGACAAACTTACCTCCAACGTCCCCAGTCAGTGGTGGGTGGGCAGCCGGGTCCCCCCAGCCCCCATGGCCTCTAAGACACTCCCGGGTCTGCAGGGCAGTTTTTACCCACTCACGTGGCCTTCTGCCATGACCCAGAGTGCTCCTCAGGTGATCTGACCTTTGTTTTATTTGTTTATTTCTTACAGTGGCCCGAGAAAAGTGGACTCTCTTCTGTTCTCAGATTCTCCCACTCTGAGCGCCCCGTAACCCACACGGGGGCCCTCAACGCATCACCCTCAGGGCACAAACCTTCTCCGTGAGGATCACAGCATTCACCAAATCCAGAACCTCCTCAAAGACTCCTGGTAGATAGGCACCGACGGAGCGGACTAGCCATTCTTCTCCTAGGGAGAGGACGGAGGTGAGGGTCAACGGGTCGCTCCCCTGGTGGCCTGGGCCACAAGCAACCAGCAAGCCTTGGTAGGTGGCAGATGCCACTGTCTTTGGGCCCACACATGGACAGGAAGCCTTGTAGGTGGGGCCCTTCTCCAAGGTGCCTTCCCTGCTCGGCTTCTTGGCGCTGAACGTGGGAGCAGGTGGAGCCCATTGCAGCAGCAGCAGCAGCAGCAGGCCTGCGTGTACGTCATGTACGTCCCGGACTCTCCGCCCTGCTCCTTCACACCCAGGGCAATTACCTCCGCTTTAACACGTGCAACATGGGGATAAGAAGTTATACCTCGGGGTGTTCACGGATTAAATGACGTAATATTGGTTAAGTGTTCAGAGCACCGAGGGAGGAGCTGCACTTAACAATTGTAGCTGAATGCCAGTTTTGTTCCTGCGGAACCAGGAAGGAAGGGATTCCTCCTCCCAGCTCAGAGCGAAGACGCGATAAACCGTCCCTACGTTAACATGATCGTGGTCACAGGTTTAGGGTCGAGGTGGCTGCTGTTCGTGACTCTAACGACCGAACAAAAGGCCATCCAGCCCGGCATGTCTGCACCCACCGCGTCAGTCCATCGCCAACAGTCCTGCTGACACTGCCCAGCGTGTGGTCCCCCTAGGGCTGGTCCCTCCTAAGGGCATGTGCCGAGAAGGTGAGACACGGCCCGGCCGACCTGGCTTCCCAGGAGCATGCCGGGCGGTGTACTCCTCCCACACAGATCTCCTGGCTCGGCCCGTCCAGAGGACTCGGTGTTCAGCCTTCTTTGCCAGCGCCGCCATTCGAAGGCACCCGTTCTTCTCTGGTCTAGCTTACTCAGGGCGAGCAAGCTCTCACAGGATCTGAGAAGACTGGAAAAGTCCACAGCGGGGCTGACGGGCACCTTCGTCGCATCTTTGCTGCCCAGGACTTTCAAGAGGTCTCTTTCCACAGGTCACTGGATTTCTGAACTGCTGCTCTTCTCCGAGCAACATGAAA